GGAAGGATTACGAGCGTGGCAGCCTTCGTGTAGTTATTACTGCTTTGAAACAATTACTAACAAAGGAAAAATAGAAAAACTCAATTGTTTATAACAGAGAGTTTAAAAACTCGAAGAAATCAGTGCAAATTGTTGAGGAAAAAGCTGAAATAATCACAACTAAGAGGAAAACAGAGTCGAATTGTTAGATGAATATTATTAAAAAGTTATCGCATGATCATCTCGTATAATTTGTGATATACCACCACTCAAAAATTTTTTAAAGACTAAAAATTTCACTCACCCTACGGGCTCGAGCAATTTGGTCAGCCTTTGAAATATTAACTCGTGCTGATTTAATCAAAATTGAACTCGAAATCGTGCGATTACCTGTGATCGACCAAGTTCCCTCTTGCTTTATTTTGAACAAACGAACTTCTATTTACGGATTATTTTAAGCTATGGACCCTGAACTCCAACAGATTCTATACAGCAACGGTAAGAATTCACTCGCAGCGACAATTTTACCTTCACAGCTTTTTTGGAGTAACTTAATTCAGAGAGAGCACTCTTTACAACGTTTTTTTCGCTTTTAGTACAAGCATAAATGAGAACTGTGCTCTAATTATAGAGATGAAAAATTATCGCAATTAAGGGGAGAGAAATTCGGGACGGTAATAACAGGGTGACTGCTTAATAAGCTGCCGCTTAGAACAGGTTCGACTGTACTTACCTGTTGTTACTGTAAATACTTGGCACTGCTATTGATAACTATACTGCCTGTTGATAATAAGAACATAATGTCAGGTTCAAAGTGATTGTTTTAAATAAGGCCAATTAGTAAATAATGTTAAATACTGAGTTTGTAAACAAAATAAATGTAAGGATGAGTTTGTGAGAAAACAATGAAATAAAAATAAACCATGTGAGTCAACATTGAATATCACCTGCTATGTGTCAAGAACTTTCTTTTTTATGAGGAAAAATATCTTGAAAATAATAAAATGTCCTTTACCTTATCAATGAGGACGATAGAAAGAAAGAATGATAAGCAGGCAAGGTTTCTTATAGCAACTATTAGTATGGGTAATCACATGATTTCGAGTGCAATTTGGAATAAATAAGCACTTGTAAATTTTTTCAAATACCACAAATTGCACTCACCCCAGGGGCTCATGCAATTTTGTTGGTTAATAACTTATCATAATTATGCAGAAGCAAAGCGCATGCATCAAGTGCAAAAAATAATTCATTCAAACCCTGCAAGTGACATTATGCATTCGGTAAAAACAACCGTGTATGATCAAAACAATAATATGCAATGATATTTTCACATCTTTGAGGCCCAAAAAAGTTCAAAATCCTGCTAAACGGTTCAAGGAATTGTTCAGTCTGGTTTGTTACTTCTTTGCACTGAATTAACCCTCTTCTGCATTGAATTACCTGAAAACTGCATTTGTCTTAACCAATCAGAACTGAGTAATTCAAGGTGCAGAGTTCCATCTGATATATCAAACCATGGTAAAGGTGACAAAACCTGGCCAAAGTGTGACAGAGGAATAGGGAAACGTAATGCTCAAATAACTTTAAAGAAGACAGGAGTGTTTCCTCAAGTCGACTCAGGTGAATTGACTCTCTGCATACTTTTCTATTCAAAACACCTAGAATTTTAATTTGGTTTCCACATACTGCATAATTAATATCTGAAAGCTCCTAATTTCTTTCGGGTATTTGCGCAACATGACGAAAAACCCTGAGGGCCTTCGTTACAGAAGAGAAAGCGGAAGTCACAGTGGCCTCACCATCAGTCGCTTCTGTAGCCGTCAGTGTTGTTGGACAGATGAAAGTTAAAGCGACTGGTTCGGAAGGCGTGGTATTCCTGGGCATATCACTATAGATGGAGAAAAAAATGCCAATAATAAAACTGAAATATTAACTTTCGTGCATTCTTTTGAAAGCTGCACTCAGGACAGTTCAACTGTTCCTGCCATTATTGACGACGTTTTCACTCAACTTAAGGAAATCATGCAAGAAATTAACTCTCTTCACCTCAGGTACGATAACGCTGGTTGTTATCATTGTGCATCAACTCTACTGAGTGGCAACCAAGCATGGAATCAACCTGAAGCGCGTTGACTTTTCAGACCCGCAAGGCGGATAAGGTCTATGTGACCGTAAGGCCGCCACGATAAAAAAGCACATGAGAATCTATCTCAATGCTGGCCATGACATCGAGACAGCATCGCAAATGATGACGATCATTGAGTCATCTCGTGGAATGGCCGAAGTCAGCATGACAGTGAGCGGTCCACAGCCTACTCTAAAGTCAACGCCAGTGAAGTGGGAAGGAGTAAGTTTTATTAATAACAGTGCATACACCAACGAAGGTGTGCCGGTGTGGAGAGCGTATGGAGTTGGTTACGGTAAATTTTTACCTTGGAACACTTTCCGTCAACAATGCAGTAGCCCTCTCCCTCAGTTAAACAAGCATACAGATAATATAATTTTCAACGTTTCTTTTCAAACCGTTAAAGCGAGACGAAGGGCAAAACAGACAACACAATTGGCAAGTCTCTAGCAAGGGAGAGTGACAGTGACGATGAAACCTGTCAAAAAGGAATTGGGTTGTTTTATTGTCCGGAGGAGGGGTGTATCAAGTCCTTCCAGCATTTCTCATCCTAAGAAAAACATCTGGACCGTGGCAAACACGAGTATGCCCTAGAAAAAGAAACGCTGTACAACAAAGCAATGACATTGTACGCAGCTGAACTGGCGCATGGGGCTGGTGCTGTTTCTGAAACTGTGGATGAAGATGTATCTATGTCGTTAGAGAATGAAGGTTCAGCACTACCGATGGGATGGGCTCTGAAGTCAGCGACAGTAACAAGAAAGAACGTCACTGGTTCTCAGAAAAATTATCTTATTGAAGTATTCCAAGAGGGAGAACGAACCGGACAAAAGGCTGATCCTACTAACCGTTCGAAGGCAATGCGAAGAGCTAAGCACAGTGATGGTTCTAGTATTCGGCTAGCTTCTTAGGCAAGATTAATAATAACCAGCAGGGTTGATTTATTTTACGCCATGATGTGAGATATACCTTCCCGCACACGAGTCTGTAGTATCAGTTGGTGCAATGATTACACTAGGCGTTTCTTGAGTTAAGTGATACGCAGTAATGGTTTTATCACCCGCGAATGTAAACTTTTCCGGACCACTCCCTGAAAAAGATAAATGTAAAGTCTTACTACCGGTACAACTTGAATAACTCAACAAGGCATGGTAGCCTCTGTAAATCTGGTGAACGTGGGCTGATACAAACATTTTAGTGAAAGTTGTGGTTATCTAGTTTTTACCCCAATACAGCATCTTTTTAATAAACAAATATTCTAACACTGTACTTCGCTCTATTCCACATCTGCAGTGATGGGCTATACCCTTTGCAGATCTTTCGCTTCATCGATAATTCGAAAAGTACAATGGCACTTTTAATTATGATAGATTTAATCATGGTCGAGTTAAATGGTTGTTGCTCTTGTTTCTCATATTCAAAACTCGAGCTAAGTTCCCGAAGCCACGTGTTTCACAGTCCAATGTTCCAGTTTTGCGGAATTGTCGATTTCATTAGACCTCAATTTGAATTAATTAGCGTTATTCCGCATGCTCAAGAGAAACATGCTTCACGAATAACAACATTCCGCTTACATTTGCCGGTTCGCAGTTTGGTTAGAAACTAACATTTAGGCAAAGTTCTGTCATGTGAAGTTATTACAGTCTCCTTTTCAACAAAATTGGGAATGGAGAAACCTCAAATCAAAACAATTCCGAGATACACTTTGTAAGAGCATGATCAGGAGGCGTTGACTATCCTGATAAGTAATTTTGCTTTCACGTGAACGATGCCGTAATTTCAGGACTGTAGCCCTCTTCCTTGAAACAGTGACATGGAAGTTAAGAGAATATTATTTTAATTAAGCTGCAGATTGGACGTAAAATGCGAAACAATTGAGTTTGCGTGTGTATGTGTACTTTTTCGACAAATACACGGCACCGTCGAACCGGCGCATTTTATCCAACTTTATAATTTGATTAAATCACGTTGAATCGTTTCCCCAAAAATCCTTTTGGAGATCGAAAAGAACTACTCTTCGCCTTCCAAACGCCATATTTTCAGTCAATCATTTTTTATAGCACATGGTTCAATAACGGGTTACTTTTGACCTATTTTTAAATTAGTTAGAGGATTGTGTAAATAAATGGTCAAGAACTGCGTAAATTGCTTTCAACATATGTTCTGATGTTGTTTTTCAAGACTTGGTACTTTTCATCAGTTCAGGTGTTTCCATTTTGTGACGTGACGCTCCGACATTTATCTAAAATTTTTGAGCTTCAAAAGCGGCATTATATTCAATATTCAGCCAAACGGAGTATGCAGTGATTTGTTTCACTCTAACGCCTACTTAACTTGAGAATATGAACCAAATTGATGTTTTGGCTGTTGCCATCATATTTTGAAAATGTTGGTTTTATGGCCACATTTGCTCTTATTAATAATTGTATGGTATGTGACGTGTCGATCAGGATTTATCACATTCTATACCGTGTGCACTGGTTTCAACGCCGTTCGGCCATCTTTATTTTTGTTCGCCCTACACTATTTCCCTCTAATCAAATTTATTTAAAATGCTTCTGCTTAAATGAAAGCTTTCGCGGATACTCACTAAAAATTTACAGAAAGTGCAAAACTAAAGCTTAAGCCTGGCAAAAAACTCCCATAGGAATGTTGAAATCGCAGAAGCAAACGAAGCAGAATTACCATACTAAAATATTGGGTACTGATTCATTTTGCAAGTGGTTTTCTTTCTTGTGCAAATAACATTTTCAGTAACTTTCTGGATAAAATCCTGTTGCGTTGTGGACATGGAAAGTCCAAGGCTAATAACCAAGTCCAAACTGATTTCCGTTCTTTTATTCACCTCTTTCTCTAAATAAGCTTACACTGTCGAAGACGACGCATTCTTGTAAGATAAATTCCCTTTCTTGGAAACTAAAGACAATTCAAAAAAGAGAAAACTGAATGACTTATTTTGTATCACAACGCTTCCTTACATTTTGTTAGTGTCGTCATTTCGTTGACTTTATCACAGATTAAAATTGTTATTCTCTTGTTTACGCTTGCGCAGCAAAGTATTCTCCACCATCATGTCAAACAAACTTTCATCTGTAAAACCTGAATCCTTGGCGACTATATTAACAACGCTCCGTGGACCAAAGGAACAGCATAAATTGCATTCTAGGAAGAATGGATTTCCTTCAACGTCTACTCGGAAGTCGAATACACCAAAATCCTGTAAACCTAACTCTCGAAAAGCTCGGCAACTTTGTTGTTGAATACGATGTATCAGCATCTCCTCTTTTCTGGGATCAAGGAACCAAGTTTTAGTTTCTGGAGATTCACCTAGAATGAAAAAAAACACAGAAACAAGCAAATTTTTAACAACTTCTTGTTGAAAACTTTTTCCCTTAAAAAGTGTCAAAAGTGTTTTCGAAGATACTTGACGACTATTGGCTGATTTTTAAGTGAAAAGCAGCAATTAAAACGTGAGACAATAGTAATTGAGAAGTCTCAGAGGATTGCTCAATCTAAAGAGAGATAAATATTTAGCCTGCCTCTATAATATTCACTCGAGTTCTGTCCTAAAGCCAAGTTCGCAATCTTCACTTGAACGAAAAAAGCAAGCAAAAGAAAGGTGGAAGAAGAAAGGAAAACTTGTGCAAGAACTTTTCCAACAAACAGAAAGTCAGAGCGTAGGAACTAAGGAAAACTGCAAGGAAAAACATTCATTTTGACGTATCTGAGCTTATCTATTAAAAGAGAAATACGACGACCAAGTCCGTATCTATTGAAATTCAAACAGACCTTTCTATGCAAGACAAAAAGTACTTGGAAAACTCAAAAGGAATTACAGGTTACTGGAAACGCAGTCCTCTCAAAGCCTTAGTTTGAAGCTGACGAGTCGAGACGAAGCTGAGTTTTGTAGATTAATTTTTTTTTTGCTGCCATCATCTGGCAAGGCATTTATAATTTGGGGTCGCCTCTCCCACAAGATACTTCTCACACAATCAACAACGAAGTTTTGGTAGGACTGAAGACATTTGTAGGCTTTGAAGTGTTCCTTTACCATATCAGGAAACTCGACCTCCGGCCATTTATCCATCGATCGAAAGAAAAAGTTGACACTTACAGAGTAGGGATCTAGTCCTGCAGAACGTTTAAGCCTCTCGCAATTTTTTTTATTATTTTTGTTCTCGGCGCTGAGTAAATCGCAATAACTTCGTAAAAATTGCACGCGATCGCCTTCGACAGCCGCCATGTCGTTTTTACCTAGTATGCAAAATAGCGGCATAGGTACGATTGATGTGGGATCACGTGACACAAACCTCTATTTGGGATTTAAAACATTTCTGAGCTAGGAACCCAATTAACTTGAAAATGTGCTCTGAAAATGTGGCTTCGTAGCACATATGTTAATACCGATGCTGTTGATAAAATTAAGGACATATATCTACAGCACTTACCAACAGGTAATCCTTTTTCATTGCAGCCGAGCTTGTCTTCAGTTCTTCGAATGTCATTTTCTCGTACTTTATACTCGATGCACGACAAAGCTTTTAATTCTCCATTTGCTGCTGATTCAACAACAGCGCAGCGAATTTCCCGTCCCTCTACGTACCTGCCGAAAAAAATAAGAAGAAACAAAGTAATAAATCGTTGAATAGGATTAACTTTTTTAATTGAAAAACGTTATAAGGCTGCAAAATAACACATAGTCTCTAACAAAGGTGTGTGGCCCCACTTCAATGAATACAAAGGAGGGGTCGAATTATAATGATAAAGTAATCTAGTACGTTAGGAAAGCCCCATGAGTTTGCATTCCTGAAATAGCTTGTTTAAACGTTCTAAGGCCTGCTTAGTGCACTAATAGGTTTTGCAGCCTCCTGTTATCTTGTTGTCTTGGTATCCCGCCAGAACTTACCGCTTACTTCAGACTGACCCTTTGTTTCTTTTTAACAATTCAAGCCATTTCCATGGGAAAATGCGAATGATCACGTCGGGATTGGTTTCGCTCTACCATTTGATTGGTCGAGAAGGTGGTACGATTATTTTCACCAATCACAAAGCACACTTAAGAAAAAAGTTAGGTCAGCTCGGATCACTTTCGACAAGCAATTAAAAATTGCTTTCTTTAAATTCATACATGTCTCAAACCTCATTGAGAACCATCTGATCTAAGAGCTACCGAAGTTAGGCTTCTAGGCTCTTTCGGAGATGCACAAATTTTTCTCGAGACGTCTGTGAATAAACAGGTTTCCTCGTATTTTGAGTTACTTACAGTCAAATCTACACAAGTTTTTGAATGATTCTATGCATTTAAACAAATGCTTTCATCGGCAAATCAGATTCATCCGATTTGGGATCCGGCCTCCAGTTTCATTCGCATATAAGCTTGACAACAACTTGGCTTATCGGCATATCAATATCATCACGGTCAAAACTGACAGCCAAACCATGTTCACTTGTACACGCTTCCTCGACTTTTACTCTTACTTAACAGTAATGCCTACCTTTCAATGATCACATGATCTGAATACGATAACGCATGCTCAATAGCTGCGTTGAGCACCTTGGAGTCTTTCACTAATCGCACCGCTTTGGTGTCTTCTCCTTTACTTGCTTTAACAACACATGGATACGTAACACGTTCACATTCTAGCGGGTCACCTATGGCAAAATAAATCTTAAAGTCAATCCGATTTAAATTCCTAATTATGTTTTTTTACATTAGTCGATGGTGAGTTACTGGCGTCAACAAAGCCTCGTTGTGTCATAGTAAAACGGTGTAAAATTGAAACAAACTGATACAACTACTTTTTTAATTAGCAGTGGTGCTATCAAGAGAGGGTAGACTTGGTAAGGTATAAGTTGGGCGCAATTTGTCATTTTACCCCGAAATAAATCCCTTTCATTTTTTTCCAATTTGAAACTGTTCTCTTTTCTATAACTTTGCTTTCAATATTTTAAACTACTCAGTATTGTGAACTTTTTTTTTAGCCAACCTCATGTTTTATATTTCACACAAAGTACACGAGCTTGAGAGGGAGTTCAAAAACAAATATAGTTTTCCTTTACAAGAATGTCGCTTGTACCTTTGTGGTAAATAAATCCATCAGGACAGGAAACATCGCCGTAAGAAACTAAAACACCGCGTGTGGTCAGTTTGTCCATGGAAAGATATCGTGATTCCACTGATCCACCTACTAATGGAATATCCAATGCATCAAAGAGCGCCCTGTGGATAGGAAACGAAAAGCCTCTGTCAGTATTAAAGATAAGAGATCTCTGTATTGTATGGCGGAAACTAGTTAAGTTATCATTCTCTTTGGTTCGTGTAAAGTTGCCTTTCAGTTCTCCACAATATTTCTATAAGCATGAAATTCTCATTCAAATGCGAGGCCATCAAGGCTAATTTGTATACACACAATGAATGAAAATCATGCGCGCTATTCTGAAAGAGATCTATTTACTTACCACTTTTGCAATATCCAAAGAATCAGAGTGTGCCCTTTGACAATGGCATAGAACAGTGCACAAGATCATCAACAGACGTCAAGGATTTAACATTTGGTGGCGAAACAAAGGATTCAATTCGCGTAAACTAAGTTGGTCCGCGCAAAACATGAGAATAGTTAATTTACAAGAACTCGCAAAATGAGTTCGTCATTAAAACCAGACGAGAAAAACTACATCAAATTGAAACCTAAAAAACCCTTTTGTAAGAGATCTGACCTGTAAGTTGTCATTCCTTTTAAACAAACAAAATGGAGTAGAGCCATATCTGGTTGTATCACATGTTTAATGTGCTGCAAGGCAGCAGTGATGTCCATCTTCTTGAGAATGTTTCCTCTTTCCTCCAATTTTGTCAAATCCACAGTATCAGACAGTCTTTCCGCAAATGACCAGGAACCAGCTGGTCTCACGAGGGCGTAAACAAAACAATAATCATGTTTTGGGGACTGCATTTCTTCGGGAAACGAACCTCCGTACAGCATGGTTAACTTGAAGCTGAATTCATCCGAGGGTGAACCCAAAACATGTAAAATCTGAGACAACAAGAGATTTTTTACAGCGAGCCTCGCTTAATGTGATTCCTCAGATGACAAAGACATTGAATATTTTCTTGAACTTTCCATAAATGTTCTCTACCAAGGTTTTTTTGGAAAACTACAATGAAAAAGATAGGTCACCGTGCTTGCTTAAGAGATATGATGGCCCAATCTTACCCCAATTTTCCGCCAGTTATGCCTGAGCAGTTGGATCTCGATTAGCTGTATGCGGCCGATCAAGTTAAAGAAAGGCAACGGAAGACGGCGGGGAAACAGTTTTAGATAGAGAAGAAATTATATGTTGTAGAATGCATTTATTCGTAAAAAGGTGAAGATGGTAGTGGTAATGGTCGCCATTAGGAAGGCTGTGACGACTTTCTTACGCTTAAAACGTCGGAATCATGTACCATTATCCGTTCATCAACCATCATCTCGATTTGAACATGTCCAAACTGTATGGTAGTGGATAGTAGTTAGTGACACACACTATTTTCATGTAAGGACGTCTAATTTTGAGGCTGAGGTTAAATGTTCCTTTTCTGCGCGGTTTGAGCCTGAAAACGTTCTTAAGAGCTAAGGCAGCATGCATCAAACAAACAGCGGCAAGCCACCCAGATTTGTTTTCCCTCCTATTTTTATATTTTTTAGCCCAATATGTTCTAATAATTGTGGTGTAGTTTTTTTGTAAAAATATATTTTAGTTTTCGAGAAATAATTTTTTTCGTTCGACCGCTCAAATATGCAAATTTTCCCTGTGAATATTACTCGAGTTGTGTGACCTCATGTATCGAATGTACTGGACCTACGGTATTTCTGTGAACATAATCCTTTGTTTTATCATCTAAACTTAGTCCCCTGTCGTTATTGAAGCTGCCAAAGAAATATTTATTTTTTGGTGAATATTTTTGTCCGACATACTTTTCCTATGTCGAAAAGTAGCATCAAAACAAAGACAGTTTTAACAATGACCGATATGACACAACCTACTGAGCTTCAAGCTTTCATAAGACAAAAGGATGTTTATAAAGTTACTGTAAAAATTTCTTTGTGTATTTGCGTTGTTCTATCTTGAGACGAACTCAAAGTCCGGCAAAATTTACTTGATAGCAACTATGAAATGTACATGGTGCGCCTATTGTCGCCACCGTTAATTGGCATAAATCACTACAATTTGCAAAAAAATCTAACGTAACACCCTTATCTTGTTTACTTATGATTTTATTAGCTGTTTCGATGATGTTAATTATGCTCTACCACATTCTGGCCAGATTTGAGTTCCAGTTTATATATCTTCTCTAACTTATTATATCAGTTGCGCGACAAGCGTGACACAGAAATTCAAAGATGAATCAACCTCCGAAATACCAAGAGATGGTTTTTTTTTCCTTTTGCATGACATCTAGAAAAACCTTTCAGGAATTACTGCACTCAGAAAATTAAAATGTCCAGATCCATCTATGATTCCTTTGCCGGCTGAAGTCAAAGTGTGGTTACAGTAGTCGATTTGATTGACAAGCTACATACTGATTTAGCTAACCGATCTGTTTTATAAGCGTCTCATCTTACACGCTAACATGGAGATTTGCTATTCAGTTAAATCGTTCGCTGGTGGAACTTGTGGGTTTAGTTATCGAGAAGACCAAGTCGTTCTCTTGTGTGATTGTTAAAAAGACATTTCATGTCACTTGCGGAGTTGCAAGTTTTCAGATCCAGAAAATGAAGTTGATCTTGTTTTGTCTCGTGCCGCATCTTCGAGACGCCAAAAGATATCGATGATTTTACAAATTGCCCCACTCACAGATCAAATCCCAGTGTTGGGTGGAATCGTGGTTCCAATAGCAGATGTAGGGTGCCAAAAGAAATGTCCGGCCATGGTAACGGTAGGGTTAAGTCGATTCCAAAAGCTGATAGGGGAATTAGCAAGCGTGTACTAGTACTCAAGATGTGAATGAAAGTGATCCTCGCAATAATGTGCACCACTTGGGCAGTAGTGAAAATAAGGCCTGAAACGGGATTTGAACCCATGACCTCTGCGATACCGGTGCAACGCTCAACTGAGCTAACAAGCCAACTGGGAGCTGGTCATGATGTTGGTTCCAAATAAACCCGTGAAGTGATGAATAAACGGTTAAGAATATATGAAAGTCATACATTTGAACTGCGGATAAAGACGTGAATGAAAGTGATCCCCGGTAACACAGAGGTCATGGGTTCAAATCCCGTACAGGCCTGAATTTTTTTTCAGGCCTTATTTTCACTACTGCCCAAGTAGTGCACATTAAATTCATACAATCTGGCTTCGGTAAGTAGGCTACTTACCACCGTGAGCAAAATTACGTGTGACGTCAGAGTTAAGTTTCGATTGGGAATTGGTCAATAGGCTACCAAAAATTTAGACAGAGGCGGAGTTTTCTGAAGTAATGTCTGAACACTTTGTTGGCTTTTCGCCGTCTGGGGGGACGCGTAATTATGCACACGGTGGTAAAGGGCCCATCCGCACTAGCGACTAGACGCTGACAAAACATGTTTCTCTTCGCCAAAATCACAAAAGAATTTGTCCTTGCTAAATGTCAAGTGTGCTACACGTATTAGCACCCCCGGGGACCCTTTACATAAGAGGGCGGGGTTGCGCGCCTGGAATTTCGAAAACGACCGCTATAAAATTATAAAAGGTGCTTATCTTATCCGTGTGGGAGTGGCAACAATTAGCCTGTAAAAACAAGTCTTTATGTCCTTTTCTGTCTTTTCCAATGCTTTCCTCGCTCCTAAAGAGGATTCATACAAATATGAGAGCCGTGCCGCGTTTACATTGTACAGGTAGAAAAGATCGCCCAGAATGAGTGTTTCGTTCTGTAATGAAAACCCCAATAAACTCACTCAGAAATGACTCATTTCGAATAAATTCTACGCAGGTTATTATGTGCCAACCGGTATGAACTCGTTCTTGTACAAAACTCATTCGGATATCATGTTAAAGGCCCCTAAAAGTTTTTGTTCCCAGAGCATCACGCTTTGCTCACCTGTCTGAATACTAAAAATTTCCGTAGCGTTGAAGCTACGACCCGCTTTTAACTGCTTCGCTGCCGCTGAAACAACGATTAGTGAAGAAAGCACATATTTTAATATTTTCAATTCAAAGTGCTTTATAACAGAACAGACCACAGTCAAGGCTTCTCTATTTGTTTTATAATAAAGAATCCGTTAAATTCCCAGAGCATTACTTACAATTTTCAAAACAAACTTTATTTCCAAAGCGAAGAACAGTGTCGTCAGCATGCTCTATACTCTCATAAAGCACGCTACAATAAGCCAATCAGAATCCCTGTTAGAATGGTTCAAATAATCTGATTGGCTGTACAAGACTAAAGCTGTCAAAAGTGTCAAATCATTAAAGTTCAAAAACCATCAAAGTTCACCTTCTGCGATCGTTTACAAACTAAAATAGTTCGGTAAGTCGAATTTAACACTTTTGCCTGAAGTTTTTAAGGCTCTAATACAGAATCTTGAAGTGAAATGTTCAGTAAACTTCAGCCGAATTATGGCTCATAAAAACACGCGAGTTTTTTTCACATGACAAGGTATGAAACAAACTGTTCAAGGCGAGTGTTTTTTGAATGAACGACAGCCGAATTCACCGAAACATGAAGATCGCTCGGGATACGGCAAAACTCGGCTGCAGCCGGACTTTCCACTCAACGAATCGGAAAGGATATCAGAGCAAGCTCTTATTTTTTCACTCGAAGGGCGGCCGATGTAATTTCTGAGGCTTGCTTTACTGTGATGACCGGAGATCGCCATGATGAGCGAGCCGCGATGAACTTCGGCATGATCATATTCGCTCAGACACCGTCATGATTAGTATGAATTTTAATAATTATGCCAGTTTGGTTATATTTTTCATCATTTCTGTTTTGTTCTGTTTTGTTTTTGAACACTGAACTTTATATACTATACGAGTGTTAGCCGTGTTTGATTTTTATTACCGTACGTAAGCTTGCAATCTAACTGGGCATGAAAATCTTTAAAACTCGGAATGTTTATTTTGTTTTTCCTTTGAGGATTTTCGTATCTGCTCACGTTTTAATAACGTAAATTACGGCGCCTGGTATGTTTACAAACCTTTGTTTGATTCTTCTGTGCCTGAACTACGCGAACGTTTCGCAGATGCCATCCAAGAGGCCCTCAGCGACTGTCCAACTAGCTGCGCTGAGGATAGATGGAACCACATTCGTGACGCTACATACAAATCTGCAGTGGACACTTTTGGAAAGAGAGAGCGCAAAAACCCCGACTGGTTCGAAGCCGGAATCGAGGAACTTGAGCCAGCCATCTCATCCAAGAGAACTGCCCTACTGAACTACAAGAAAGACCCCTGTGAAAAGACTCTGACTGCCCTCAGACGAGCCAGAAGTGAAGCCCAAAAGATTTCTAGACAGTGCGCCAACAACTACTGGCAGAACCTATGTCAAGGCATCCAGACATCGGCTGACTGCGGCAACATTCGAGCCATGTATGAGGGAACGAAGAAAGCCTTCGGCCCATGCGCAATCAAGACTGCCCCTCTCAAGTCATCCACTGGCGAAATCATCACAGACCGTGCAAAGCAAATGGCGAGATGGGCGGAACATTACCAGGAGCTGTACTCCAGGGAGACCGTCGTGACTGACACAGCAGTGGAGAACACGAGCCCCCTGCCAGTCATGGAAGAGCTTGATGACCCACCCACTATCGAGGAACTCCCTAGCCAGCGGCAAAGCCCCAGGCAACGATGGCATTCCGCCAGAGGTCATAAAAGCAGGCAAAGAGACCAGTCTTCTCGAACATCTCCACGAACTTCTGCTACAATGCTGGGAGGAAGGAAGTGTGCCTCAGGACATGCGTGACGCCAACATCATCACGCTCTACAAAAACAAAGGTGATCGCAGCGATTGCAATAACTATCGCGGAATATCCCTCCTCAGCATCGTCGGCAAGACCTTTGCCCGCGTCGTGTTGAACAGACTGCAGTCACTGGCAGAGCGTGTGTACCCAGAATCACAGTGCGGATTTCGAGCCGAAAGGTCTACGATCGACATGATCTTCTCCCTGAGGCAGCTACAAGAGAAATAGCAGAGACGCCCCCTGTACATCGCTTTCATAGACCTGACCAAAGCGTTCGACCTGGTCAGCAGGTCAGGTTTGTTCACACTCCTGCACAGGATTGGATGCCCCCCCAAGCTCCTGAGGATGATCACCTCCTTCCACAAGGAAATGAAAGGTACTGTCCAGTACGATGGCTCCTCCTCGGACCCCTTCCCCATCAAGAGCGGCGTCAAACAAGGGTGTGTCCTCGCGCCGACACTTTTTGGCATCCTGTTCTCCCTGCTGCTGCGCTACGCCTTCAGCCAATCCGAAGAGGGCATCTACCTGCACACCAGGAGCGACGGTAGCCTGTTCAACCTGGCACGCCTCCGAGCCAAGACAAAGGTGCGCAAAGTCGTCATCCGGGAGATGCTCTTCGCTGATGATGCCGCCATCACAGCTCACACCGAAACTGTCCTCCAGGAGCTCATCAACTGCTTTGCCTATGCCTGTTCACAGTTTGGCCTCACAATCAGCATAAAAAAGACCAACATCCTGGGCCAAGACGTCAGCACTGCTCCCAGCATCTCCATAGATGACTGTACCCTTGATGTGGTGGAGGACTTTACCTATCTTGGGTCCACCATCTCCAGCAACCTCAGCCTGGACACCGAGCTGAACACGAGGATCGGCAAGGCCTCAACAGCTATGGCCCGCCTGACCAAGAGAGTGTGGGAGAACACTATGCTCACCATCAAGACCAAGACGCAAGTGTACCAGGCGTGTGTGCTGAGCACACTGCTGTACGGCAGCGAGAGTTGGACTCCCTACACCCGGCAAGAACGCAGGCTCAATGCTTTCCACCTGCGTTGCCTTAGGAGAATCCTCGGCATCACCTGGCAGGATCGCATCCCAAACACCGAAGTCCTAGCAAGGGCAGGAACTGTGAGCATGTACGCCCTGCTAACCAAGAGACGCCTGCGATGGCTCGGTCATGTCACCCGCATGCAAGATGGCAGGCTACCGAAAGACATTCTGTACGGTGAGCTTGCCACTGGGTCCAGACCCACTGGACGACCTTCGCTCCGCTACAAGGATGTGCTCAAGCGGGACCTGAAGGCGGGTGGCATTGCGCCAGCAGGCTTCGAAGCACTGGCAGCGGACCGCAGCGGCTGGCGATTCACCACCATGTCAGCCATCAAGACAGCAGAGCAGAAAAGAGAGGAGCAGTGGGAAGACAAGAGAGCTCGCAGGCGCCAGAGAGCAGAGGCCAACCCATCCCCCTCGGACGACAACGTCTTCGCATGCAGCAACTGCAGCAGGATCTGCCGCTCGAGGATCGGTCTCTACAGCCACAGCCGGCGCTGCAGCTCCACCACAGACTGACCATGGGCGCAACTCCATTGTCTCCCGAGACAGAAGGACGCCAACAAACTTGCCGGCTCGCTTCAGTTCCGAAATTTCACTTTCAATTATCGGGAAAAAGCTAAAAAGAAGTCCCGGAAAAGGTCGAACATAGTACGATTGGCAGATGGCGTGACAGCTTTAGCTCAGTTCTATGCTCTATACTCTCATAGAGCACGCTCTTTCAACCAATGACAGCGCGCGTTATGTCCGAACTTTATTATAAACTCTCATAGAGCATGCTCTTTCAACCAATGACACCGCGCGTTATATCCGAACTTTATTATAAAATTCTTTAACTTATGTATACTTAGCTCTGCTACCACAGCATTGAGCACTTTATGCCAAGGTAAACTCTACCCCCACATTCATTTATATATATATATATAAATATTATGAGAGGAAAAAAAGGACGCAACTACATTTCCCGACAAGCCTGTTTCGTGAATCGCTTCTCTCTTATATATATATATATATATATATATACATATACATATATAAAGGAAGTCTGCAAGTCGATTTTCGCGTGGAACAGTGCTCAATACGTTGAAGCAGAGCAGAATAAATATTATGAGAGGAAAAAAGGACGTAACTACATTTCCCGACAAGTCTGTTTCGTGAATCGCTTCAGGGGTTTAATTAAGCGTTAAATTTAAGCGTTAAACCCCTGAAGCGATTCACGAAACAGGCTTGTCGGGAAATGTAGTTACGTATATATATATATATATATATATATATATATATATATATATATATATATATATATATATATATATATATATATATATATATATATATATATATATATATATATATATTGTGGGAGGAAAAAGACAAATAAACTACAAGTTCATCCCTACAGACCTGTTTCGTGGTTGCCCACTCATCGGGGGATTTGAAAAATCTCCTGATGAGTGGGCAACCACGAAACAGGTCTGTAGAAATCCCCTGATGAGTGGGCAACCACGAAACAGGTCTGTAGGGATGAACTTGTAGTTTATTTGTCTTTTTCCTCCCACAATATATATGTACATCGCTCTACTCCTATGTATTGAGCACTGTTTTACGTAAGTCAAATTTTACACTTTATATATATATATATATATATATATATATATATATATATATATATATATATATACAGCATTTACCTTTACTGTTTTCTTCATCCCTTGCTTTCGATTAGAGTGTTGTGTGGACGTACCGTCTGCCAAAGTACAAATTATCTGAGTGATTTAATTACATCACGTAAATAGCCCAGGTTTGCACCCTTGTAGCGTGGTTCCCGGGAATGCCCTTTTTAGTGTAACAACCTTCTCCGATCCAGTCCCTAAGATGCGCGGTCATTAGGGCTAAGTTGCTTGCAGAACTGAGAGGTGTTATTTAATTGCGATACTTCTTTCACTGCGACGATCAGTAAACCAAGAAATTTTTTTCCACACGTGTTACAGAGCACTTAGTCAGTGACAGGGCCTCTCACATTTTCAAGTCTCTGCAATATTCTGCACATTGTCGTGCTTTGTGTTCAGCGGATAACTTCCATGTTTTAGATCACGCCTCTACCAGTTTTCAACTCAAAATAAAAGAGGCTATTCACATTCAAAGAGAACAACCATCCTTGAATCAACAATTATACCATGTAAATCTAAAACTATCTTTTTAATTCTCACACTTTCATGCTTTACCTCTTTTCTTGTTGTCACTATTTATCATAATTAGCATTGTTCTACTTACTATATAATTCAACTTTCAACGCTTTGTACAGTAATTAACTGAAGATGACAGAAGTTTCTGTCGAAACGTCTTACAGACTTAAAAGTTTTGTCGCTTTCTTTAATTATAAATTGATGACTTCCCTGCTAATATCAAAGAAAGTGGCTGAGCAAGGAATCTCTATCGCAAACGACACCCTCTAAGAATCTTCTTATCCAGATTGTCCACAAAATTACTCATATACTGCAACGCATATCCATAACAATGATCTCATCAACTGGGCGAGCGATAACAATTGCGTCAAAGTTGGGAAACTGGAAAAATCTTACATCTTTCAATTGTTATAATTACCAAAAACGAATACATGTTTGGTTTTTTGTTTTGAAGGTGCAAGATAGAAAGCTTGTTTAAAACTCTTTAATTGCCAGAGTGTGTCGAAACCGGCAGAGGGAGATTTCTCTGCAAGTGTTTGTCTTGATACCTTACGAATAAGCCCAAAGAGCGAATAAATCAACGATTGAAACACATGAGGACTGATTGAAGGCATCCCTTAAAAACTGTCTGAGTTAGGAAAAAAAAGAAATGCTTTCCCTTGCAACTCAGGACCGAGAACAGAGAGAAGCAATGTCACATTCTCCTCTCCTATCCAGGTCTATGCAACGATTAGTTCGACCGTCGAAATTTATAACGTCATCGAGGTTTGACATCCAGAGCCTGCAAACTCTGTGAAATATCTAATTCCTTAATAATAAAAAATATTCACTTACCACGTTTCGGTGTGTAGCTGTTCCACTGGCTCGATGCCTCTCAAGATTAATCCAACAGTTGGATGTCGTATCCTTGCAGAAAGTAGTGTCACGTATTCTTTTATAAGTAACCCATTAGGACATTGAAAATTACATATTTCCCCCAGGTAACAACAAATATTGAGATTTCGTCTGCCAAGAAACTTTTGCCTCGAGCACCATGACATGTCATGTTTCAGTTTTAATAATAGACCTGCAACGTGTACCGATGCCAGATTAATTCTGGCATCGGTACTACTCTAGCGACTTGTATGCAAAAATACTTGGCCATGGCACTCATTTGTTTTGCATTTTGTATCTAGGCTAGAGAGTAGTAAATTCTCACCTTACAATTAATCGAAGTTGCCGCTAATAGTCTAGCGGTTATCGACCAAATTTGTTCAAATTAATGATAAAAGCATAAACCTTTGCCATAACACTTATTGCCCTGAGACTAACATTTTCTGATATAGGGCCAATCTAAATCAACTTCTGGTGACGAGAACCATGCATGTCAGAAATTTGCTAACATGGAAACGAGGCTTAGAATAAAAAAATACTCTTTAATGACATTGCTTAGGAAAATTTGCGACAAAAGCCTTCAAACATAACTACCGAGTCATTTCTATCCTTTCGTATTCATCTTATGCCATTATGGTACTATCCTCTGTAACGATAGGATTTTTAGTTATCGAGTTCTTTCATGCTTGCGCTTAAAAAATACAATATTTAACGTAGAAAGCTTAGTTCAGCAAAGCGTAAACGCCACCAGTTCTCCTTCAGCCACCCGTAAACAGTTGTTATTAGTGTTAAACTGTAACAGCCACCTCTCATGTCCTTTTGTGTAACTGTTATCCACCGGAACTCTTTGAAAGTAATTAATGTTGTAAAAGGCGAAATTCCTGCTTAGCCAATAGTATTGCTGGTTTTCAGTGTCACGCCATTCAAAATAGATCAAAATAAAAAATAAAAACCGTTCAATCGATTTAGTCTAGAATCTGGAAATAGAAAGAAGCTAGATATGTAAAGACTCTCGCCAAGATTCAGGTCACAGCAATTTTTCTTACGGAAGATATGAGGAGAAACGTTTTTCCCAAATTTATAGAGATTTGTATGGAGCCGCCATGCTGGTGCCCACCTAGATGGGCACCAACATGGCCTGTCACTGAGTTTTGCTACAAAAGCGTGAATTTATCTCTCTAAGAACTCATAAACGTAACAATAATACTTTATTCTAATACAAGAACTGTTCAGATAGCTGAATTTCCCTAAATAAGTCACCTTTTAAACCAACATAACGGCTCTCTCGCTCGTCATGTAAAGGCCACGTCACGCAAAAGCTTAGAAATTCAAGAGTAGTCTATCACTAAACCAAGAACCCATTTGGAGTGAAAATTTGTCTGAATATTAGTTTTTAGCTGCTCTAATACATCATGAAAGTAAAATCTCAAGAGGATCAATAGTTCTGAAGTCTGAAATTTAGTGACGTCACGTGAAAACCAGCAATAGTAGATTACATGATCCTTTAGATTATTCATGGCATTACGTTATCCATGTACGTTAGGTTTAAATAGGACTGTTCTGTAAAGCTTAGGGGGAGAAAAGAGAAGAGAAGAGAGACTTAACGAGAGAAGAGAAGAACGGGGTTGAACCAGCCCTGGCCAGGTCCGTTCTGGTCAAATTGTAGTAGAGCTTGCAGAATAAATCTACGTTGGAGCCAACCCTGTGGTTGTTAGTCATTCTCTCAAGGATAGTCAGCAGCCGTAATAGATTCCGGTTACCTTCCCGCAGCCAGCGAGTGCCCCCAAGGAAAGCCTTTACCCAGAAGAGTTTTTAAGAGTTGTCCCCGTCCGTCCGTTCATTTGTGAAGGCAAAACCCTGTTTTCACACCTCTTTAATATTTATCATAATCTTTGGGTGCCCTGTGGTTAAACGTTAAATATACCTGTTTACATTATATTCTGAATCACGATTGGTAAAACTTGTTTACCTTAGAAACATAAAGCTTATGTCTTTGGTTGATTTGACATTCTCTTCCGTTACTTAAGTAAAATTAACCAGCTATTATAAATAAGCTTTGGTTAACAGATGCTACAGCCAAGAACACCACGCACGTTTGATGAATACCTAAGTACCGTGTATGCCCCTTACATCCTAAAACACCTGGAACACCTTTCTTAAAACCATGCATGCTAAAATATTGCTAATCAGCGGGGGCGCCATCAAATACGGTGGAGTCATTTGACTGTCCGAGTACGTACAAACACGCATTTAGCCGCAAGTGTTCGTCCTGCAATAACAGGTAAATCCAACCTATCCTAACATTATTCTTACTTCGTTTGAGCATTTATTCATTAACCTGAGATTTCTCTTTAGGTTTGATAGAAATAAGTCATTATACTTGCACCGAAAAACACTTGATGTGAGCTTGCGTTGCTGGCGGTTTTTAAGCACATAGCAGCTGAGTCACAATAGGGTTAGGAAGGAAAATAATTGCATAAAGAATTCAAAGCTCCTCTGCTCCAATTCGCAGCTTAAGGTGATTCCTCAGTTTTGCACTGTGCATCCTGTACTGCGTATAAAACTCAAGCGAATAACCGCGTGCATTTCGAGAACACGGTATTGTCTTTCAATAAATGGACCAGGTAAAGAGGTGCGATGGTCTCTAGTTCGTGAAAGAGCACAGTGACGCTAAAATTATGCAAAAAAAAAAACACAGGTAAAAATTGTCCCCTTCAAACTGGACGAATTAGAAAAAATTCAGCGAAGGGAAAAAAGTTTCCACAAAGTCCGTTACTCGATGATGTAAATTATGAACTTCAAAGCCACGACTCATGGAACGTTTTGAGTCGATGTCGCATAAAATTGCGTGATTTTTCACAAATTATATACCAAATTGTTCCATACGCTCGAGACCCTTTACCTGTCAATTTTTTTTAAATGTTACTTTAAACACCCCTGCTTCCAGCTGCCTCAAATGTACCGTGAACCGATGACATGACGCGCGTGATTAGTTCCAGAACAGGCATGAGTGGGGTAAGTTTGGCTCATTATATCTTTTAAACGAGTACGGTGACCTGTCTTTTAAATTGTATTTTTCGAAATAGACATTGGTAGGGAACTTTTAAGGAGAGTTTTAAAAAAATGTTGAATAACTTTTGAGCAATCACCTTGACAGTCTTTATTTTCATTGGGCGACCAAAAGTCGTCAGCTACGTGGTCTAACCAATTTTAACTGATAATGCGTAAATTCAATTAGGCTTTAACAATATGTTGTGTTCTTGGGTATGGCTCTTAACTCTCACAAGGCTTCCCCGACTCCGTGTAGCACTGGTCGTTCAAAAGGTGGATAATGGTTGATGCAATCTCTATCTGATGGACAGCGCAGTACGTTTCGTTATTTCTTTTTCGCGGAATATCGATTTATTCATCGCATAACGTTACCCGATTTTGAACAACTGGGCCCTCAGTGAATAGTGAGTTTTGGCCCGGAATTGAAAAGATTCATCGCCTGATCGCAGATAATTACAGCAGCATGCTGTGCGTGGACTTGGAAGACTTTACAGGGAACACTCGATACTCTGCATATAACATGTTTGGTGTTATTAATGCGATCATCGTTAATTAGTCAGATGAAACAGTTAGTTTCGACCCCGGGTGAAGTTTCCTATGGCTAAAGGAGTAGCTCAGGTTTGGATATGATTATAACAACATTAACTATTTATTAACTATTCTCAAAAACATTTATTTCTCAGTAATTTGCAATTCTTTAAGGATTATAAATTATTCTTTTGCACCCATCAATAAATAAATATTTCAGCTTGAGAATGAGGGAAGAAAATTGTCGAAAATTTGGCCTCTAAAGGTCTACAACCGCACAGCTCCACCAATGATCCCGAGACCGTAAAGTGATCCTGAGACCACAAATGATCCCGGGGCCGCATATGATCCCAAGACCGCAAATGATCCCAGTCATTCCTAGTACCTCAATATTTTGTACAGTAACCTCAATGTTGTTGTGTGTGTCAACCATCACAGGTCCTATATAAGTATACAGGTTCGAAACTCAAAGTGACCACACTTGCGTCGTCAAGAGTACGTCCAGTCCCCTTTGATTTTTAAAACGATGCCCAAAATAATTACGCAGTCTGTTGTCTCTCAAGAACGCGATCAGCAATTATTTCATTATTCACATCTTTTCTTTTTTTATTCAACAACCTTTATTTAACTTACAACCCTGTTGAATATTAACAAACTGGTAGTCCGGGGAGGGCTTGATAATGTAGCAGGGAGGAGCGGGCTGATCAATTGAATCTGATTGTAAATGAGAGATTTATCCATCGCCAGAAATCAAGGACATTTCGAGCCCGCTAACAATTATCAGGGGTATATCGTATTACACTCCGGAACAATAGAATATCAAGATAATTCAATATGGCGGCGATCACGGCTCGATCTGCAAAGAAGAGTGTTTCGTACCATGACTTGTACAATTTGAGCACCGCAGATCTTCTATTTGATGAAAAGAAAAAGAAAAGAAAAGAAGGCCTGCAAGTAAATCTTTGGGATTTTTCGAGGCAGAGCGATGACATGATGTCAGAATTTTGATTTGCTTTAATTTAATTTTCGCGCTAAGACTACTGAATTTGCATTCAATGCCTGGCATATTTTTATTCCGAAAAGGACCGTGACCTAATTTATTTCCCTGCAAGAACATAAACAAATATGGTGGACGATTCGAAGATCAGCGTTGCTCGTGTTTAACTATTTCAGTCATAGTTTTCAACATGGCGTCTCGTCACTTACTCAACATGGAAAATAAGGGATATTCTGGCTCGTTGGGAACTTTTTTGATGGGAGGAAATGGCAATTTTACAGGATATTTGGACGCTTCGAACTCTGTAGCAGTCAATTCGATCGAGAGCAGTTGACTTTATTGATGCACTTTCCTGTAATAGGCGAGTTTTTGGGATGGAGAACGACGGATTTTGAAGAACTGTATGGCGACTTAGGTCAATGATCAATTACAAAAGAACTGGCTCGGGAAGTAAGTGGTTTTTATTTATCGAGTCCTTGTGAGGTTTG